AGTCGTATGATGACCCGCCACTGGAACTTTTGGTCTTCTGACCGAGGCCTTCCACTGACTTACCAGTCGGCCCCTTTAAAAATGGGTATAACATTGTCTTTTAAGAGAGAAAAAAACCCCCAAAATTCATACAAAAACCCTGGCGCAGGTTTGTGTTGGGGGTGTTGGGCCCCGGAAATCTGTCAGCGTGTGGGAAAACTGGGTTTGGGGATTAGCTGTGAAGCTACAAGGCCCCGCTGTGGGCTGTTTTTTTAGATTTGTAGGAGGAGAGGAAACCACAACCCCAGCCTGATTTTTCGACCATCGAAAAACGACACCCAGGGGATCAGTGCAAAAAATCCTGACCAGGCAGTGTTGGGGCTATTTAAGGGGAGGGGATCCCGACAGGGGAGTGTTTTATTAAACAGGGGGGGGAACCTGACCAGGCAGTGTTGGATTTTCAAGGGGGGGATTTCCCGCCCGGGAGTGTTGGTAGTTTTCAGGGGAAAGGGGGTCCGGGCCCCGGCAGTGGTTTTACTATAAGGGGGGGGGGGTCCCGACCGGGAGGGGTTGGCTAGTTATCGGGGAGGGGATCCTTTACCAGGCAGTGTTGGATTTTCAAGGGGGGATTTCCCCGAACCCGGGGAGTGTTGACTAGTTAAACAGGGAAGGGGGATCCTGACCCGGCATTCGGGGGGGAAATACCAGGGGGAAAAGGGGGGGGTCCCGACCAGGCCCAGTTTTGACCCATTAAGGGGGGGGATCCTTTAACCCCGGCAGTTTTTGACTATAAGGGGAAGGGGGTCCGGGCAGGCGTTTTTGTTTGTTATCAAGGGGGGGGGGATCCTTTACAGGCAGTGTTGACTATCAAAAGGGAAAGGGGGGGCCTGAACCCGGCCCGTGTTTGGTTTGTTATCGGGGAGGGGGGGCCTGACCAACAGTGTTGGGCTTCAAGGGGAAAGGGGGTCGGGCCCCGGGAGTGTTGACTGTTATCAGGGAGGGGATTTGACCAGGCGGGGTTGACTAGTTTTCAGGGGAAAGGGGGTCCTACCAAGGGAGTGTTTACTATCAAGGGGAGGGGATCCTGGGCCAGGCAGTTTTGACTTTTATCAGGGGGGGGTCCTGGGCCAGGCGGGGTTGACTATTAAGGGGAAAGGGGGGGCCTGACCAGGGGAGTTTTTGACTATTAAGGGGAGGGGGAACCCGGGCCAACAGTGTTGACTATCAAGGGGAGGGGATCCTGACCCGGCAGTGATTTTCTAAAGGGGAAAGGGAAAGGGTTCCCGACCAGGCGGGGTTGGGGTAGTTATCAGGGGGGGGGGATCCCGACCGCAGTTGTTGGGGGGCTATAAAAGGGGGGGGGGATCCCGACCCGGCAGTGTTGACTGTTTAAGGGAGGGGGATCCTGACCAAGGGGTGTTGACTTCAAAGGGAGGGGATCTGACCAGGCAGTGTTGACTTTGTTTTAAAGGGGGGGGGAACCGACCAGGCTGTTTTTAAACTAATTCAATGGGGAAAGGGGGGGTTGACCCGGAGTGTTGGGCTAGTTATCAGGGGGGGGGGATCCTGCCAGGGGGGGTGTTGACTGTTTTAGGGGAGGGGGTCCTTTACCCGCGTGTTAAATTCAAGGGTGGGGTTTCCCGACCAGGCAGTGTTGACTAGGTTTTCAGGGGGGGGGGATCCTGACCGGCGTGTTTACTTCAAGGGGGGGGATCCTGACCAGGCAGGTTTTTGACTGTTATGGGAGGGGATTCCCGCCCCGGGAGTGTTTTACTTTTTATGGGGAGGGGATCCTGGCCCGGGAGTGTTGACTGTTAAGGGAGGGGATCCTGACCAGGGGAAATGTTGGCTAGTTTTCAGGGGGGGGGATCCCGACCAGGGAGTGTTGATGTTTTAAAGGGGAGGGGGGTCCTGACCCGGGAGGTGTTTACTTCAAGGGAGGGGATCCTGAAGCAGTGTTGACTGTTTAGGGGAGGGGTCCTGAACCCGGCAGTGTTAATTTTCAGGGGGGGGGGGGATCCCGACCCGGGAGGTTGGGCTGTAACGGGGAGGGGTTCCCGGGCCGGCAAATGTTTAAATTCAAGGGGAAGGGGGTCCCGACCCGGGGAGTGTTGACTAGTTACGGGGGGGGATCCCGACCAGCAGTGTTGGACTGTTTTAAAGGGGGGGGGACCTGACCAGGCCCGTGTTTTAATGTTTAAAAGGGGGGGGGGGGGATCCTGACCCCGGCAGTGTTGAAATGTTAAGGGGAGGGGATCCTGAAACCCGGCAGTGTTTAATTCAAGGGGAAGGGGGTCCCGACCAGGCAGTGTTTGGACCCGTTATAGGGAGGGGACCCGACCCGGCGTGTTGATTGTTAAAGGGGGGGGGGGGATCCTGACCAGGCAAAATGTTTGTTTCCGGGGGGCCCGGGAACAGGTTTACCCAAGGGGGGGAAACACCCTTTACCAACTAGGGGCTACCCGAGTTGTTAAAGTAAGGCATTTTTACAATTATTTTTTTTTTAAATTTAGGAATTTATACGGGGGGGGTTACCACTTTTGATGTTTTCCGGGGTGGGGGTTACCGGAAAATTTTCTAAACAAGGGGGGGGCCCGGCCGGCCCGTGTTTTGGCTTTAAGGGGGGGATCCGAAACCGGGTTGCTGTCGGCGAAAGGGGGGTCCTGAAGGAATGTTTAAAAATAAGGGAACTCCCTGGGGGGTTGAATTAAAACCCTGAACCACCTGGAATTAAATAAAACCCCCGGGGGGGTTTCCCCGATCTGGGGAGGGGGTTCCACCCCAAAATTTAATTAAGGGGGGGGAAATTACCCCTTTACTTTAAAAATTAAAAATGTTATTTTTATTTAAAATTTAAAACAAAACAACGAATTGAAGGGTTTACACGGGGGGCCCGAAAGGGAATGGGGAAACAAAGGGGATCCAAGGGGGAGGTTTCTTTAAGGGGAGGGGGTCCAAAGGCCTTTCTAGTTTAAAGGGGGAAGGGGGCCGAACCCGGCAGGGTAAAGGGGGGGGAAATTGACCCCCAGGGGCTTTACAAGGGGTCCGACCGGCGTGGGCCCCAAAGGGAGGGGCCTTGGAGTGTTTGTTTGGGGGGCTGGACCACGTGGTTGGTCTTGTTTCGGGGGAGGGGGCCCAAACCTGGTTTCTTTGTTTGGGGGGGGCCAAACCCGGGAGTGTTTTTATTTTTCGGGGAGGGGCCAAGGTGGTTACTATTTCAGGGGAGGCGGGAAAAAACCTGGGGGTTTTTCTGTGCAGGGGGAAGGGGCCAAATTTTGAAGGGGGGGACCCGAAAAGTGGAAATTTTTGGGGGGCCTAAGGGAGGTTTTATGTTTGGGGAGGGGGGGGGTCACCGGTGGGCTTTTAGGGGAAAAATCCTTCCCCAGGTTTAAAAAAAAATTTTCCCGCCAGCGAATGGAATTTCAGGGTTGGGGGGCCTGGGGGCCCCCTCTTTTTTTTTCTGTCAAATTTAAATTCCCAAAAGTTTGACGATCCAAACTAACAAAGTTTTTAAATTGCGGGGGGGTTACCCATTGTTTAAAACCGAGGGGGCCCACCCCAAATTTGTCATTGAAACAGGGGGAAAACCCGCATTTTACTGTTTCCCGGGGAGGGGCCTGAAACCCGGCGTGGTTTCGTAAGGCGGAAAGGGTGGGTTACCCGGGTGGGGACTGTTGGGAACCGCCAGGCAGGGTTTTTAAAACCAGGGGATCTAAAGGCCCGGGGGGACCGCTCAATCCCGCCCCGGATGTTTAAATTCCAAAAAAGGCCCAGGGGGCTGACCCGGAGTTTTGAGTCCGGGAGGGGTCTAATCGGGACTTAAGGGCCGGGGGGGAAAAACCCGCCCGGAAAGGGCTAGTTAAGGGGGGGGAAAAAAACGGATGTTTTTTTTTTAAAGGGGAATCCTTTAAGGCAGTGGAAAATTTTTTTAACGGGGGTTACCGGCGTTTTGTTGTGTTAAGGCCGAGGGGGGAGCCAGGGGTTTTTGGGAAAATTTTCGGGGGGGACCCCAAAAATTGGCTGGCAAAGGCAGGGAAAACCCAAAATTTATACATCTTCTAAATTAACTTAAAAGGATTTTATTTATTTACCTATGACAAGAAATGCAATAAAAAGAAGGTCGGTCGTAGCCACTAATTACACGTTACGCGTCACGAAGAATCACCATTAAGGTCAAGGGTTTATTATTATTAATTCCCGGAGGAGCGCATAACCCGTAGGGAGGTCATACAGCGCCTGAGGGAATAGATGGCAGTCAGGTTCGATGGAAGGAAAAAAAGAACAGGTAGTAATAAAGATGAGGAATTAGACACATGTGCAACATCTGGGTATCTTTATTTGTAGACGTTTCGCCATCCAGTGGCTTTATTAATACGAATTCAAGGACATTATGGAAAGACAGTAGAAGTATATACGGAAAATGAGGTAATCAGTCCCTCAACCTACGGTGCTCTTCACTTTCTCCAAGGCTGAGGGACTGATTGTCTCATCTCTTGTACATAGTTCTACAGTCTTCCCATTATGTGCTTGAATTTGTACTGATAAAGCCTCTGGATGACGAAACGTCTACAAATAAAGATACCCAGATGTTGCACATGTGTCTAATTCTTCAACTTGTGGGTACTTTATACCATACATGTTCAGTAATAAAGTTACCTCCATCGTAGTAAGAAAATAGCAATAACTTTATTGGTTTTAAAAAGCCAACCAGAAGAGCCTGTCTCTTAGAGTAAAGGGGAGGTTTAAGGGAGGGAGGGGATTAGGGTGGGTGTGGGTGGGTGTGAGTTGGACCCGACTAGCTTTTGCTAATAGGTCTGATGCTATAATCCTTTCTTAAGTAGCTTACGCTAGTAGGTGACTTGGACCTGGCTAGCATGGACCAGTACGCCTGCTGCAATGCTCCTTCTTTATGCTTTTTTTTATGTAAGGGAAGGAAGGTAGGTCCATCAGTCTCACTGTGTTGATGTGTTTGCAGATTCCTTCAGACAAGTATCACAAGTGGAAAACTTCGAGTGTCTTACCTTCAAGTGGATCGTAGATGGCCCCTTTGGAGAGCGACTGCAGATCATACTCGAACTCCGCCACCTGCTTCTTGAGGTCATCAGCCCCTGCCTCGGCCTCGACGTACAGAGCCGCCTGGCCCTTGTAACTCGTGAAGCAGCGGATCAGCTCTCGAGGACGACCGTCGTCGAGGGCGAAGAGCGGCAGGAGAGAGCGGTGGCCCTCCAGGTAGATCCTGGCGCCCTCGAACTTGGCACCGCCCTTGATGCAGGCGTGGAAGTCTCGCCCTTTGTGGGGAGACTTGAGTATGACTCTGAGTCCGGCTCGAGGGTACTGCCACTCAACCCGCCCTGAGGAGCAGCTCAGGTAGACAGGCTGCACCCCTCGCCCGTCTTGCTCCAGCCCACTGTCAAGAAAAACAACACAGGTTGACGAAAATGTGGGTTTGACAGAAAAATCTCATTTTTTGACAGAAAATATCTCGTTTTTGACAGGAAAAAGATCTAAAATAAAAGACGTATTACCAAATTAAACAAACAAAAATAAGAACAGACATCAAAATCCACTCTCGTAAATGAGCCAATATGGCGGTCATTATCGTACTAAGAACCAGGACTACACATGATTTTATCTAAAAATAATTAGTGAATCCTGCACACCGTGTTCATTACTGACTCTTCATAATGAGATTAATTTATGAGATTCTACCCAGAGTTTGGCGAGTCATAGTCAGGTTAGTGTTCTTATGTGGTGTGTGTGTGTGGTGTGTGTGTGTGTGGTGATGTGTGTGTGTGTGTGTGTGGTGTGTGTGTGGTGTGTGTGTGGTGTTGGTACTCACCTATTGTGGTTGCAGGGTCGATCCACAGCTCCGTAGTGTGTGTGTGTGTGTGTGTGTGTGTGTGTGTGTGTGTGTGTGTGTGTGTGTGTGTGTGTGTGTGTGTGTACTCACCTAATTGTGGTTGCAGGGGTCGATCCACAGCTCCTGTGTGTGTGTGTGTGTGTGTGTGTGTGTGTGTGTGTGTGTGTGTGTGTGTGTGTGTGTGTGTGTGTGTGTGTGTGTGTGTGTGTAAGTGCAGATGTTACAGCCCTTCCTTCCCCCTTCACTCTCATATCACCTCCTCTTATCCTCGTATTACTCCGTCCTTCATCCTTGTATCATCCCCTCCCTTCACCCTCGCATCACTCCCCTTCACTATCGTATCACACCCCCCTTCACCCTCGCATCACTCCCCTTCACTATCGTATCACACCCCCCTTCACCCTCGCATCACTCCCCTTCACTATCGTATCACACCCACTTCACCCTCGTATCACCTCCCCTTCACAGTCCATTGAAAAACCAAAACAAATCGCTAGTTCTGTTTCTACTTTTTAACAAACTTGCGTTCAATTCCACAAGAAACAGCCTCAGAGAAAACTCGTTTTCTTTCCATCTATTTCTCCGAAACCTCCTCACAGGCGAAGCATCACACTAGAGATGTATCGGACGTGAAAATTTACATCCGCTGATGCGGATGTAAGAAATTGTGCGGATGTTCTGTGGATGCGGATATCCGATACATCACTACATCACACGACGCGGGAACAAAATAGCAAGCGTGGCCTGGGGCCGGGATAAAGTACTCTCTCGAAGCCAGTCACCGGTATATAACATGTGACATATTTATATCGCTGGATCCCGCTTGTCTTCCCGTAATGCCAAGGTCCTCGTCCCGCTCCTGGGGTGGGGAACCTGTGGCCTTCTGAATGAGTTATTTTTCTTAAAAAGTTATTATGTAATAATTAACTTGTTACAAAATAACCGACATTTTGTGGTATATCTAATCAAAATTTCTTGAATGCGGCCTTATTAGAGTACAGCTAACTTTAATGCCACCTTATTAGATTACACCTAACTTTAATGCCACGTTATTAGATTACAGCTAACTTTAATGCCACCTTATTACATTACAGCTAACTTTAATGCCACGTTATTAGATTACAGCTAACTTTAATGCCACCTTATTAGATTACAGGTAACTTTATTACGACCTTTCTAACATAAAAAGGGTCCTCATCCCTGGGACTCTAGTCACCATATAAAGCTTTTGTTGTTTTGTTTACTGTTATTCTTTGTTTACTGTTATTCTTGCTGTTGTTCTGTTGATAAAATTGGTGCTATCGCTGCTGCTGTTACCTTTGCTGCTACTGATGATGTTGCAGCTGTGTTAATACAAATGATAATACTGTTGCTGCGTCTGTTGCTTTTAGTACACCGCTTTCTAAGTCTTAAGACTCTTCTCAAGTCCTGATCATTCCCGCGACTTAGACCAGAACCCTGATGCAGTATAAACAACATGATAAAAGAAACTATAAGCAAAAAAATTTTGACAATCAGCTGGTAGAATTAATGACTGCCAGCTGATGGCTCAAACAGGTGGAGTAGGTGGCACAACCCTCACCACCTTGGAGAGAGAGAGAGAGAGAGAGAGAAGAAAGAGAGAGAAAGAGAGAGAGAGAAAGAAAGAGAGGTGACTTGTTGCTGGTGATAGGCTCTTGATCTATGTATTGGATCAAACCTGATTAAGACCCATTCCCCATGACTCGTGGAATTAAGAGTTTCGTGATTTTCTCTGTACCACTCAAAGATGGAGGACCCCTTGGCGCCTAACTGAACTTGCACCGGGTATCTGAGGAACACCTGAAGGATGTTCCCGGGGGTCGACGCCTCCGCGGCGCGGTGCCACACTAGGGGTAGTGAATGTTCTGCAATTTCGCCTGCCTTAATGCCGAAATGTACATACATGTTAGCGGCTTTATTTATGCTTTGTGTTTATTACACTGTGTATACTATACAAAGAAATAAAGATGTTTATTGTACATGTATGGTATACAATACCGACAGTATTAAAATACGCGTGCAACATCTGGGTATTTTATTTGTAGACATTTCACCAGTGACTTATATATATATATATATATATATATATATATATATATATATAATGTCGTGCCGAATATGTAAAACTGGTCAATTAGCAAGAACTCATTTAAAATTAAGTCCTTTCTGAAATTTTCTTTTATATGTTTAAAGATATATTTTTTTCATTAATGTTGATGTAAAAATTTATAATTTTGCACCAAAAGAATCTTAGAAAACTTACCTAACCTTATTATAACAAGAACAATTTATTTTAGCCTAACCCAACTAAATATATTTTAGATTTGTTTACAATAATTTAATACTAAACAAACACAGTGAAATATATTTTTTTCGCTACGTTCAGAATGATTTTGGCGAAATTATTGCATACACAAATTTTCGCTTGTCCTATATGGCAAGATGAGCGTTGCTATTTAAGCCAAGATAGCAAGTTCTGCCTATTCGGCACGACACATACACACACACACACACACACACACACACACACACACACACACACACATATATATATATATTATGCAATAATTTCGCCAAAATCATTCTGAACCTAACGAAAAAAATATATTCACTGTGTTTGTTTAGTATTAAATTATTGTAAACAAATCTAAAATATATTTAGTTGGGTTAGGCTAAAATAAATTGTTCTTGTTATAATAAGGTTAGGTAAGTTTTCTAAGATTCTTTTGGTGCAAAATTAAAATTTTTTACATGCAATAAGATCACAGTAAACAGGTGATTTCAGAATATGCAAAACAACCACTCTGAAAGAATAGAGAAATTCCAAGCGCTTTCGTGACTACTCACATTATCACGAAAGCGCTTGGAATTTCTCTATTCTTTCAGAGTGGTTGTTTTGCACACACACACACACAATATATATATATATATATATATATATATATATATATATATATATATATATATATATATATATATATATATATATTTCAACAAGTCGGTCGTCTCAGGTTATGTCCTTGTATTGTACTGATAAAGTCATTGATTGGCGAAACGTTAACAAATAGAGATACCCAGATGTTGCACATGTAACTAATTCTTCAAGTTGTTTATTGTAAGGAGGAACACTGAGACATGACATGACCATGACATACAAAATACAAGAGCTAGAGCTCACCCCGACCAGTTAACTTTAATACCATATAATTACAGTCACCTCTGCGTGCTGCAGTGGAAGTGCTCGTGGGAATGACAATCTTAGGATCGCCTGGATGATGGTTCGACCCTCGATCACTCCAGTATACAATTATATTACACCAGGACGCCTGGTCTGGGACCGGGCCGCGGGGGCGTTGACCCCCAGAACATTCTTCAGGTAGAATCCAGGTAGGAAGACACACAAGCGCTTAGCAACCATTCAAAGAATTCAATCTAACTCTTAATCCCATGACAAACAAAACTAGAAAGACTCGCATCAGCAGAAATTTTCCCCTGACGAAATAATAAACGTTAATAGGCAGAATTAAAACCATCACGTTATTTCCACCTTCCATGTTGCTATGCCGTTTCCATCTCCTCCAATGGATGTTAAAGCGCATTATGCGGCCACTTTCACCTGACGGGGCGGGACCCAACACCCGCTGTCTCTTGCCCTGAGGCTCTATCTTATCTGTCCTTCACAAAGGGAATTATATCATGGCCTAACGACTTGGTGCTGGGCCTGAGACGCACGCTCTTCCACCCCACCTGCTGCCTGGTGTCTGGCGAACACAGGGAACACCTCCCTCCCACCTGCTGCCTGGTATCTTTCGAAGACAGGGAACACGTCCCTCCCACCTGCTGCCTGGTATCTTTCGAAGACAGGGAACACGTCCCTCCCACCTGCTGCCTGGTATCTTTCGAAGACAGGGAACACGTCCCTCCCACCTGCTGCCTGGTATCTTTCGAAGACAGGAAACACCTCCCTCCCACCTGCTGCCTGGTATCTTTCGAAGACAGGGAACACGTCCCTCCCACCTGCTGCCTGGTATCTTTCGAAGACAGGGAACACGTCCCTCCCACCTGCTGCCTGGTATCTTTCGAAGACAGGGAACACGTCCCTCCCACCTGCTGCCTGGTATCTTTCGAAGACAGGAAACACCTCCCTCCCACCTGCTGCCTGGTATCTTTCGAAGACAGGGAACACGTCCCTCCCACCTGCTGCCTGGTATCTTTCGAAGACAGGGAACACCTCCCTCCCACCTGCTGCCTGGTATCTTTCGAAGACAGGCAGCTACTCCCTTACCACTTGCTGGTGATGGCAGGGACCCACCCCTGCCACAAATTCCCTGGAGACGAAAACAAAGAATTCACAGAATTCTCAATGGTGCTACGCTGTCTGAAGTGAGGAAGGAAACACTGGCTAGACAAACAGAAGATAATGAACTTAAATGAATCACGCAGAATCCAGGAAAGACAAGGTGAGCCAAAAAAAATTAATGAGATTAAAGTTAATGCAAAATACTTCGTCTCAGATGCAAAATCCG